GCTTTTTTTTCCGCCAAAAAATTTTATTGTTTTTCATAATGTTATATCTACCAAATAAGCAGTTCTACATTGTGTGCCTCAAATGCAGTTAAGTAATCACTACATAAGAGCATGCCCTTCAGATGTTATTGCTGAAGCTTCTTTAAATATCAATTGTCATTAAGTTGTATCAAGTTTGAGGGAAGAAAGACAAGCCCACCACTCAAACTCAATAATTAAATGTGGCATCCAATTTTTTATAAGTAATTTATTTTCAAATTTCTTACAAATTTGCTTATGATTAACCTCTATCCTTATGACAAATATTTACATATTTGCTCTAGCTATTGGAGCTAGTCCTTTAAGTCTAATTTTTTCTTAAGTGGCTTCTTTTTTTTGTGATGCTTCTATTTTTATTCTTGTAATTCTCCTTGTCTTTGACCTTCTTTGTTGAATCATCAATAATGTATTGGCATTCTCTTCTCATATATTCAAGTTTTTTTAGGTGCAATAAGTTATTTATTTTCCTACAAAAAAATTATTATAAAGTTTATGAGCTTTAGATTTTTCATATGTTCACTTTTTCTTCATGAGCAAGATTCTAAGCCTTTTTCAAAGCATATCAACATTATTGTTATCACTATTTAATCCTGCAGCGCTAGACTTACCTAAATCACCTACCCTTACAAAAATATTATTCTATTTATTTTCTCCTTTATAAAACTATCTTCCTTATCTATTTGAGATAGTACTTACACATGAACTATCAAAGATCAAAGACCCCAAAGTTGATCAAATGGATAAATAGATGGATATTTGTTTATTTTATATCATCATGCTCTTTTTTAAGACATCTAATAATCTCTTAGATTTAATTTTAGTAAACCCTAAACCCTAAACAACCCTAGTGCACTTATATTGAGCTATTTGAAATGATTCCATGGCCACTTCAATGTATGTAAGTATGTGCTCATCATGCAAGAAATGTTGCAGTTTTAAATTGAGTAATCTTGATACAAATGTAGTTGAGACATTTAATAAAAACATGTATGATCATTAATATCGAGTTACCAAAAATTAAATTTCATAAGACTAATTTTTTCTCTTTTAATGATTCATGAGCTCACAAGAAAAATCTAAAATATCTCTTTAGTCATTCTCTAATGCAATACATATGAAATTACGTAATGCTCTTTCGGTTTAAATTACTTCAACATTTGTTTGAAATTTAATATTATATCTCACTTGAGCATCATTTATGATATATTTAATATTTGTTTCTCTACATATAGGGCATGTTGTTATTTTTTAAAGATTAACTTCGTGGTGATTTCTTAGCTTCACTACTCATACATTTGTTGTCCTAAATTGATTTTGTATAAGCGGTATGTTTAAACTGTATTTTGTTTTTGTTCCTAGTTGCTTATCATTGTGGCGGGGCTTAAAATCTATGCATGTTATATCTAGTAAAATATTTTATTTAAACTTTTTCTCCTTAATTATTTTTGAAATAAAAAATAAATCACTTTTTTAATTAAATAGATCCTATAACATATCTCGTTTGTTGTGTAGGGAGAGCCAAACATTATTTTGTTACTTGTGATCATTTGCATGGCTTGTAACATTTGAAATTGTTAAAGTGATAAATTTATTTGTAATAATCTATCTAGTGTCATTTTTATATTTCACATTTCAAGTGGCAATTAAAATCCATGGACAATAGCTTTGAATATTAAATTTTATCAGTGCTTCCTCTAAAATTTTTTCTATTTTTGCATTCTTTTTTATTTCTTCTTTATTTTTTTATTTTGTTTTGATTTTAATGGTTTAGTTGTTTCCCAATTTGAATTTTTTTCTTGTGTTTTATAGAGGTTATTGTTCGCGTGGGTAGATTTTTTTGTACTCTTTCGTATGTTAGAACTTTGGTTCACATAGAACTTTGGTTCACATAAGCATGTTTCATATGACTCAAATATGTTTTTATTATTTCTATATATATGAAATATTTTGAATTTTAGCTAGAGCATCTCTCTGTGGCTTATCACATTGTGGATGTAATTGCTTGGAGACTTGTGAAAATGAAGATCTCTTAAAGAGATATTCATTTGATGGCTTGGCTTTGAATCTCTTATAAAAATATTTTTGTTAGGATTTTTGTACTTCTCCTTTTCAGCTATTTTATCACATATGTCATACAATGGTTTTGATTTTATTATATTATTAAGTTGTTTAGACTATGACTAATATTAGTTCGCTTATACAATACTCTATTACATTATTTAGTTATTTTATTACATATGTCTCATATGGATGCATTGTGGATGCCTCTTCCATCTCTTAGGCTCTTATTTATCTTGTGTAATTAAAACATCTTGGAATTTTTATTTAATTTTAACATCACTTCCCATTGATTGCTGATGTATTTTGAACATTTACTACATGCTGTGTTTCAAGCCTTCTTTCTCCCAAAATAATCTCTTAGAGGCTATTTGATTTGTGCTATTAGGGATGCATTATGTTCCTTTTACATTCATATGACTTTATTTCAATGCTACTTTTTTTTTAAAAAAAAATAATAAATTTATAGTGAAATATTGTGGTATCAAGAACAACTAAATGATCATTCTTCATTTATGCCAAAATCAAACGATTTTTAAATACAGATAAAATTTATGTTCTTCACTAAATCTTGATTTCATGCTCTTCTCCATCAATGTCATTGAGAACCTTCCATCGTCTATGACTTCGCTACTTGCTTTGATTCATTTTCCCACATTATCATTAGAGCCCAAACTCATGTCTTGCTCTATCTCCTTCATTAACGACCTCCCTTGATCTTATATCAATGTTAAAAACCTTCCTCCACCTCTCCTAGTTTGTTTCATCTTTCTCTATTATCGCTAGTTCTACCATTCTATTCCACCTGAATTTTAATAGTGTAATTTGGTGGTTCATGAGTCAAGCTTAAAATTAACTTGAAAATGACCCAACATAAATATAATCAATGCGACCAGATTGTTTATTAAGTGGCCAAAAGTTTCAACATGAACCCGACTCAACTAAACCTAAATCCAACCCATCTAACATAAAAAAAGAAAAAAAAATATTTTAGTTATGTCAGATTAGTGTCAACTCAACCTGAAATGGACATGATTACTCGATTTAAATATATCGGCTTTAAAAAATAACTAGTAATTCCAATTTCTAAATGGTTAAATCATTACTTCCAAGCTAACTTAAGTCCGAATCAAACCAATCCAATTTCTTTTGTTAAGTCGGACAAGACAACCTGAACAAAATTTAATACGTGTTGACAAAAAACCAAGTTATCTGTACTGGGTTTCATGTTATAATCAACTAATTGTACATACTTGTATTTATTTTACTCTATATTTTTATTAAATTTATATACTAAAAATATCTAACCAATGAAACCCTTGGGGACAATTTGGTTGTGGAAAAAAGAAAGCACCGTTAATATATATATATATATATATATATGATACGAACCTCTAGCAACATTAATGTACCTAACCACTCGATCCGGTACTGTAAGTCAGATGTATTCAGGCGGAATCGAACACGAGCACTA